TTGCGTCCAAACAGACATATGTAAATGCATTTTCTACTTCGGAGGATGGCTAAAATAACAATTTAAACAATGGCACAGTGCTCAAAAATTAATGCTTGCTCATCAAAGGGTGGTATTTTCTTAGGCATGCTTTTTGAATACACCATTCTGTAGGAAAGTTTCCTGTAGTGAACTTTATAGGTGTGATTTAACTTACCCCTGCCATTTTTTTTCTTCCTTAAATATTTTCTTCTGTTGAATAATCAATTGTATACCCCTGTTAAACCAAACAAATCAATGTTTAACTCATTACTAGAAAATCATTCTTTATGCAGAAAGCAGCAATTGGTTTCCTAATTATATTCTGTTTCTAGCATTTTTTTGGTGTTTTGCAAGGTTCTCAATAGAACTTAGAAACTGGGGGTGAAGTCCTGGCTGTGGTGAAATCATTAGAAGCTTAAGTGGTAATTTCAATAGAGTAAAAACTTCATCCCTTACCTTTTAAGTCATGAACCAAGCAAGTCACTCAATGCATGTGTTTTCTCACTTACAGTCCTTGCCCTAATCTTGCCATATGTGCCTGCCTTGCAGGTGTAGTAGTAAAATCTGTTTTCCATGTAAAAGCTGTGTTACTAAGTATAGTTTATATGACTGGTATAAGAAAACAGGCATGGAATTTAGAATGCTTACTAAACAATCTGTAATATACTACAGTTCTCAAGTAATTAGTCATTCCTGTATCTGCCAATTATAGGAAATTTTGCAATCAGTTTTGCCAGATTCTTTTTTTTTTTGAAAAGGTAAAATAGTTTGTGCTTCAACTTAAGGCTTGGCTAAATGCAGTTGAAACAAGTTATTTGAAATTCGTTCTTTTAAGGTATTACATTGTTTTATGTTGAAAGCACTTCCTATTTTTTTCATCAGAAAAAGAAAACTAAGGCCTCTGCTTAAAGGAAAAGGAATAATAAAAAGAAATCTGTAGTAAACAGTATTGCAACCTATTCAGATAATCAAGAAATTATTTTATTCATGCATCAAGCAAGGGAACTAGTAGAAGGCAAAGAGTTTTACACTGCTATTTTAAAGAAATAAAGATCCTTTTGGATTATTACTGACTGAAAATTTTATAAAGGGACAATTTCTGCTGTCCTAAAGGGTGTTGTAGTACAGCTCTGACAGATAGTAGATTGCATTTCATGGTAGTATGAAGAAGATATTCTCTAGTGATATGTGTCCGTAAAAGACAAAGCTAGCATACCATATTGAGACTCTTCTATGGTAAATCCTCTAGCAAAAGGATCTTTTGTTCTCTACCTGTACTTCTTTATGTAAAGCAATTAATTTATTTCAAGTTGGAGAGCCTGTTTCTGAATAGCCTTAATTTTGAGGGGTTTTTGTGGTTTTTTTTTTAACTTTGTTAATTTAAGCTTCAGCCCTGAGGTTTAACTTTGAATTGTCTTGTGTGCATTTGTTGGTTTTTTTTAATGGTCTAGGAAGTGCATTCTTTTTGAGTTTGAAAGGATAACTCTGAACATGCTCAATGATGGTGAGTTTTGAGGTACCTTGTAGTGCTGATCGCTAGAATTTAACTCTTTTGCACATAGCTGGACAGGCTGTACTGAAGAGGTTACTCTGAAGTGATGGGTGACTTCATGTACTGAAGCTTATGTAAAATCTTTGAGATGCTAGGGGCACTCTGTGTTTAGAAAGGTATTCTCATGCATGGGATGCTGTCAGGTTTATTTATATATAAATTATTATCAGAGGATGATTTAAATATTACCGAAGTCTTATGCAGATCAATAAACTTCAAAGCAAGTGGTCAGGGACTTTCCAAACTTGAATGCCTAATATTATGCACCCAGAATAATGACTAAATTACCTTCTGTTCATTTTTTGTAGGAGGAAATAATAATTACGTTCTTAACCAACACACACACACGAAGTCACTAGCTAGGTGCATCCATAAAAAGTTTAGCATATAATTGTGGAAAAAATTGTCCTAAGGGTTTGTGCAGGTTTTGGCTGAGATAGAGTTAATTTTCTTCATAGTAGCTAGTATGGGGCTGTGTTTTGGGTTTGTGCTGAAACCAGTGTTGATAACACAGGGATGTTTTCGTTACTGCTGAGCAGTGCTTACACAGAGTCAAGGCCTTTTCTGCCTCTCACCCCACCCCACCAGCGAGCAGGCTGGGGGTGCACAGAAAGTTGGGAGGGGACACAGCTGGGACAGCTGACCCCAACTGACCAAAGGGATATTCCCTGGGGGAAGAAGGAGGAAGGGGGGGGGGCATTCAGATACTCAAATGGACATTCACTGTTACGCGTGATGGAGCCCTGCTTTCCTGGAGATGGCTGAACACCTGCCTGCCGATGGGAAGTAGTGAATGAATTCCTTGTTTTGCTTTGCTTGCGTGCGTGGCTTTTGCTTTCCCTATTAAACTGTCTTTATCTCAACCCACAAGTTTTCTCACTTTTACCCTTCTGATTTTCTCTCCCCCATCCCATTGTGGGGGGAGTGAGCAAGCGGCTGTGTGGGGCTTAGTTGCTGGCTGGGGTTAAACCACACCAGGGTTCTATGTGACACAGTAAACTAGTTGTAGAGGGGAGAATAACAAAATGATCAGCAGTTATAACGTTAGTAAGTCTATTTGGTGTGAATTAAAACTACCAGCTTCTTTGAGATGCTTCTTACTTGGCAGCACTGTGTTTGGAGATAGCTTCGTGGCTTATTAGAAATTGTTCAGAGAATAAGCATAGTCCTTTGAATCTAGTATTAGGGGATGTAGAGGGGGAAGCCTTTGCTTTCTGTTGCAGCTGAGCTGCTGTAACAAAACTGGAATATCTCATGCTGTTTCACAATAACAGGATAGATGAGTGAAAGGTCTCTGAAAACAGCTGTTGAAAGAGAACAGTCCACCTATTTAGAATCATAGGATAGTTTAGTTTGGAAGGGACCTTCTGAGGTCATCTCATCCAATGTCTTTCTCAAAGCAGATCTGATTAAATCAGATTGTTTGAAGACTTGTTGCAACTTAGCATGTAGTTCTGGGGCAGCAGAAGCTTCTAGGCTACCATAGATCTTCCTAAGCTGTGTGGTTTTTTTTTTTTCCCCCTACCTGTAGATTAGTGCTAGTGTGCATACAGCTGTGTGGAAATCCCATTCAAGGAGTTTATGGGCTGAAAACAGCTCATTTTTCTTTGCTCATTTTTTGGGGAAAGAGGAGGAGTCTGGTTTTGTCTGTATTGGTTTCTGGTTTGTGCAGCACTTGGTCTATGAATATGAGGAATGATGGGGATGAGTGAAGAGGAAGAATACAGGCAAGGCAGTGGCATCCTCATACCAAGTTGTTTCTCTGTACCTCAGTGGACTACAGTCCCAGTGATGTTTGTGGAGGCAGAACTGGCTGCCAAACTTGCCCAAACAAAATCATTGTTAACTTGACTTAATTATAATCTGTTTTCTTTCAAATACAGCAAGTAGACTTTCAAGAAGATCTAAATACAAGGTACATTAGAAAGCAGTGTAATTGGTATGGGAAAAGAGACATGAAAAAGTCTTTCAGATTGTAGTAATTCTTCAGGGGTTTGAAAGTAGTTTACTGTGTTGCTTTTAGCAGGAGCTATACAACTTCAAAGCTAAATCAGGTCTCCAAACTAGAATTCAGAAAGTAGAAGTATTGTTTAAAAGTTTTCTAGTGTGTATCTAAACACAGGTATACATTTTGTAACTTTTACAATACTGTCCAATAGATGTATGTGTACTCTTTACTCCTCTTGCTGTGTATATAGGAGGTGAGTTTGGTTTGTTCCAGCAGTGACCTTGAGTGAGTAGCTTTAATCTTAGAACAGGCTAAGCTTTTTAAGATATAGGTAGCTCTTCTGCCTGGAGGAATGGTGTGTTCCATCAGTTTGGAATGCTTCCCTTTCATCCTTCTGGCAACACTCTGCCTCTTCGAGAAAGTCTTTGGATGTCATTTTGTGAGATCCCAAGGATGTGGGTTACAGAAATAACCCAGAGTTAAAGATGTCCTTTGTCATGGTCTGCATCTTGAATATTGCTGTCAGACATTAAAAGAGTTGTGGTAAACAACAAACAGGAGTTTGAAGAGAAAACTGACCTCCTCTAAAAAAAAAAAAAAACAAAGCCAGTTAGTCTTCAGCCTTGCATTATGTCAAGGAATGGAGAAAAGTAACAAATTCCTTAGGTCTGCATCATGGCTGGTGCCACCTTAAATGATGTGATGTAAAGGTGTGTATTACTAGCCTGTGGTAACATTTTTTGTCCTGACCTCCCTTTCATGACTTCAGGAGATATCAGCAGTATAGGCTTTGAATTAGGAAAGAAATTAAAATGGGGAAGTGTAGATGTCCTTTCATATTCCTGTAGTCTCAAAGTCTCATTTGTGGCCTCAGCAGGTGTTTGTTGGTCTAAAAAAATGTTGAAGTGAATACATTTCAACAGTGTATCCTTGGTAGAAAGTCAATAACTCCTGGTAAATTAATGTGTCCTTCAGGGCAAGGATCTTGAAATGCTTGAATTTTATTCTGTTAAAACTTGCTCCTTTTAAAATAATTCATTATTAAACATAGGTATGTGTGTACACATGTTGAAGTATATACTTGAGGAATATATAGGAAAAGTACCTGGGTATTTGCTGTAGGAGAATGCTCTTAATGTCATGTATTGTGAGCTCAAGTAATTTAAGCACTTGCAAAATGACTCTGCAGTCAGAACTTATGATCCAAAAGAAATGGGAAATATCTTCAACCCCCTCATTACCCTTTACTTTTTTTTTTATTTCTTAATGAGAGGTCTTTTGAAACCTGTTGAAACCTCTCTATGAGAGTATTGTTTGGGTGGAAAGCTCTGATAATTTACAGTCCTCCATTTAAAATGGCCTGCAGTTGAAATACAGGAAAATCACTCTTTCTGAAAAATTTGTTGTCTTTTTTTTTTTAAATTGACAAAAAATAGCTGCAAAACCCCTTAAATTATGAAAATGTAATCTTCTTTTCAGGTGAAAGTTATGTATGTGCATCCAATGAACCATATCGCAAAGTTGATTATACCAAGAATGTCAATCCAAACTGGTGTGTGAACATAAGGACTGGGTCCACTCGATCCTTGACATCTTTGACATCCACAAAGAGTGAAGTGAAGGAGAGTAAAGATTTCATTAAACCCAAATTAGTGACTGTTATTAGGAGTGGAGTAAAGCCACGGAAAGCTGTGAGAATTCTGCTGAATAAGAAGACTGCTCACTCCTTCGAACAGGTCTTGACTGACATCACAGAAGCCATTAAGTTAGATTCGGGTGTAGTCAAGAGACTTTGTACGCTGGACGGAAAGCAGGTAGGAGAATAAATTGCTATGACCATCTAATAATTATGCATTAATCTAAACTTCTTTGTTTTCGTAACTTGAATTCTTGTTACTTTAACCTGCTTCTGAATGACAGTTTAATAAATGGCAACTTTTTAAATTTGTATTAAAATATTAATATCTTAAAAAAATTAAAATTGTATATAATTCAAAAAAAGTTGACCAGTTTACATTCTAAGTAAAAAAAAAAAAAAAAAAGAAAATCTTTCGTATACTGACTCTGTTGCATTGCTGAAAAAGGGTCTGTTTATTTGAAACATTTGGAAGCAAGCTTGTTAAAATACATACGTGTTTTCAGAAGCAGAGTCATGTTTTCAGACTACTACATAGTGCTGAGTGGTATAGGAAAAATATTGCTGCCTCCTTCCATTTCACTTCCACAGATTGCTATTTAAGTAGCAAAAGGACTGAAATGTCTTTCTGGAGGTAGTAACTGACATGACCTAAGGTCAAGAATTTTATCTGAAATGAATAATTCTGGGGGGTGGTCATATCTTTGCAACTTGCTTTTGCTTTTAGTTTTACCACTGCAAAAACATGCTGCCAGGATTAATGATGCAGTAGGTCTTTTATGCTCATTCAGAAATACAAAGGAGCGGCCCACAGAATGTTCTGCTGCACCAGGTAAAAGTGTCAGGCATACACTTGCTGTTGATCAGTCAGGTTAATGACTCAGCCCTTCATGGAACAGGACTTTGATACTTGATACTTTTATTTGACGCTGATGTGGAACTTTGACAGCATTGTGACTTTAGTAGTACAGAGCAACACAGGCTGCAAAGTAGATTGCATTCAGTATCGGGTACCTGGACTATTGTACTGTTGACTAAATGTTAGGATCCTTGCTCATTCAACAGGTATTTTTGCACACCTGCATACCTATATATTTGCATGAACTACTCATAAAAGTTTCAATTGTGTTCAAACAGATGTGGGAATTTTTATTGTCAAACTTTTTATAATGGTTATAATCCTATAGACTACTTAAAAAGCACCTTTTTGTGTTGAAAGTTGCTAGCAAATGTATTGCAGAACAAGTGCACTTCCTCACATTGTCTCCATATGAGGTCTGTCTCTCTGGTTATGTTTTGTGTGCTGTGGATACACTTTTTATAATTAAGTACTTGAGCTTCTTCTGTTCTTTGGTATTAAATATAGCGAGGCAAATGCATCACTGAGACTCTTGATTTTCAGTATTTGGTGGCACTATAATGTGCTCTTTAGTTCTTCTAATAGGTTTGATTTTTAATGAGATTTGTTAACGAGATTTGTTAAGAGAGAATCCTTTCTAGGAACATCTGAAATGTGATTTAGTCATGTTTAATTTAATTCATAATAAAATAGCTTTGAGGATATTTATTATACAGTAATTAGTCTCTTCTTCCCATGAAGTCTTCTGTTACTGTCTCAGATAAGATGATTTTCATCTTCTCAAGCAAGTAGATAGAAAGTCAGGAAAAGAAACTGCAAAAATCAAGATTCTCAGTTCAGCTTCACCTCTTCTATTGTATTGTTAATACCATAGAAACTCACTGATGTGGAAACTCATTGATGTGGAAGATGCAGTAGTGCATCAGGGATCAATAAAATTAATTAACATTAAATCTCACATATGTTGCTTGCACGTTACTGTCACCCATGGTGGATGATAGCTGTCTTGAGTCCACAGTGAGGATGACCGGTCATTGGTAATGCTCCAAAATAAGTATAAGATTTCTAATTGCTGCAGTACCTCCTCCTGCCCTTCTATGGTAAAGGCAATAATCAAACTTGGACTGCAGATGTATATGTAGGTGTTCTCAAGCAGGATTGGGAATCCCTAGTTCTCACTGCTAACAGCCTGTTAATAGCTGCTCCTTACAACTGCCTCTCTGTGTAAACTGTTTCAGCAGTAGTAGTGCATAAATGTGGAGACTGTGCTTCCATTTGGAAGAAAGACCTTTTGCTTTTCCACAGACTTTGGGAAGGAGCCTTTGCTTGTACCACTGTAGTGTAATCGTGATTTAAGTCGTCATGGAATATACTGCCCCAGATAGAAGACCTATGGCTTTAAACACCCTGATCATAAAAGCCGCCTCCTGCTTATCTAGGAGGATAGACACTTCTGGGATTTTTTGTTGGTTTTTTTTTGTTTGTTTTGTTTCTTTTTCTCCAAAATGAAGGGCTGACCCCAGTTTTAGGCAATAGGGATTTTTTTTTTCTTTGTTTGTTCATTGCTGGTATATGTAGAGGTTGGTGCCCAAGGGTTTTGTGGGGTTTGGCAAATAAAGAGTTGCTTTCCTGCCAGTTACCAATTGGTGGAAATTTCTAAGCCTATTTTCTCTAATGTAGTAATTGCTTATTCTTCTAAATCTGCTAGGGAAGCAGATCTTTTATGTTCGTTGTAGTGTTGGCACAGCTTGAAAGGCAACCATTAAAAAAAAAAAGAGGCATTTTGTAAATGGCTATGTTCCTATAAATGTAGCTCTTGTGTTTCTCAAGGTTTTGTGTTTTTCTTTTCCCTGCTCTTTCATATCTTTATCTCTGAGGAAATACACATTTTTTACGTTTTTTGTGAGCAAATAGGTTTAGGTTGTATTTTCTGTTTAATATGGAATTGATGCTGAAATTCAGGTGTTTAAAACATGCATGTATAAAATTTGTATCCTTTTATTAGGGAATGTGTTGTTCTTATGGGGTGATTTTGTTTTCCAGTAGAACTATTCAACATGTGTAGTAAGAAATAATCATGAAACCAGTGATCTATGAAGAAATCTTTTTAATTTTGAGCAGTACAACAGAAAGGATGTCCTCAAAATAGTTTTTATTTACTCTTCTGACTTCATTAATCTTGACTGTAGCAACATCTTGATGATAATAGTAACACAGAGAATAACATCCATGTCAGATATTTTCCTTGATTATTGTGTATGAAAGCAGACAATTATCTAGCTTTTAATTGTAAGATTTTATAACACTTACAAGGTTTCCTTTTATCTTCCGTTTCAATATGGATGCTGTAACTTAGAATATTAGTGCTTTGTAGCCTCAAGTACAGATTTTTTTTTTTAAACTACATTGATGCAAGGCTGACTTTTCACTTTTAAGCTGTTGAGCAACCAACCTTTTTTACCTCCCAAGACTTTTGTGAGGAAAAATATTCCTGTAAAAGAAACTAGGCTTTAACTCTGCAGTGCAGGCTTCTGCTGTTCCAGCCTTTGTGCTTCTGACATTGAGGTTTGCCTAATACTTTTGCTTGACCAAAGTGTTTTCCTTACTTGGCTGCATTTTTCCTTTCTATTCTCTGCTGGAATCTGTCACTATCCTACTGTGAAGCAAGGACAGTCAGACTGAAACTTTTCCAGTTGGGAAGTTAACCCTTTGTTATCTCAGAAGAGAATGGAGGGTTTCTATCTAGCTAAACAAGCTTCAACCTTCAGTCATTGCAAAGTGTAGGGTAGCAACTTAATGGTAAATTACCTGTGCTAATTGTTTAAAAGAATATAATGTATTGTGTGTGTGTGGAGAATTTCCTGTGAGAAACTCAAAAAAAGCCATACGGAACTCTGAAGAATGTATTATTTGACACACAAAAGAAAATTAAATCTTCACTCCAGGAAGATGATAACTTTTAAAGCTTGCATTGTGTTGCAGCTTCATGGATTAATGTCCATAACAGGATTGAAAAGGTGGATGAGCCACCTTTTCTATACTCACCAAATAGTGAGAACATACCACAGATAAGCCTTATTTTAAAGGTCTTTTTTGATGGGCCACAGGTATGTTGGCAGCAATCTCTGAAACCAAAAGCCTCCCTAATTTTCTGTTAACGAAGTCTTTCATAAGGTGCTCATTAAAAGTAAATGGGTAACTGAAGAAAACAGATACTACATTTGGAAGTATTAATCAGACTCATCATGCTCTCCTCTCAGTAATTTTTTATTTTTCAGTGACAGCTTTGAAAATTCTTAGTAGAGATGATAGCTTCTGTAAGCTGAATTTTGTATTTGCTTTGTAGTGGAAATACTAAGGAGACCAACTGGACCTATCAACATACCCATCACAGAGGGCAGAAACCAGAACAATAGATGAGCAGGAGAGATCTCGTTTATTAGTACAACCGATATTACCCATATTCTTGTTTCAGTTCTTTTGGCACATAGGCTTCTGTCATTCAGATCTGAAAATCTCCATTAATATGGTGTTTTTACTAAAATCTTAATCTCAGTGAGAGCTGACTATTTAGTATTGAGACAAGTTTTGGAACATAGGAATTTTGTTTTTCTTAGTTTTCCAGTTTTGTATGCAAAGTCATACTTGGATGAGATTTTTTTTTAAATAATTTTATTGCAGTTAATGGAGTAGTTTAGCAAATATTTACCTTTAGTTCAGTTCTCTCCTACCTAATGACAGTTGAAAGGCTACTTGGTTTTCAACTGTATCTTATTCATCAGCAGTACACTTTTTTTAAGGAACCAGGCAGTAGGAGTTAGGTGTACTCTTTTCTTTTTTTTTAAGTGTCATTTAATTGTATTGTTACATCGCTGTCTGATATCTCATTGCAGGCTGAGAAACAACTGTAATAGAAACTTGCTCCCATGTTAGCAGGCATTATGTGTAGTTGAAAGCTACTGAAACCAAAAGAAGTCTTTATCTTAACTCTCAGGCTCTAATCTAGTATAGGCACTTTCACATATGTATTAGAAATAGCAGAGAATTGAATTTCTGCTACAGGCAATTTTGCAAGAACATAGAAAGCTCCAGCTTTTGTGCAGTTCTAGTTCTGCTGAAATTTAAAACAGCACTTTAAGCTGAAATGTTGCAGTAACCTTCAAGTATGAGGAGAAAAAACCCTTAAGCCCTTGTATTCCTCACTACTCTTAAAAAGGCAAATATATATATTGTTATAGAGGAATGTCAGTGGCAGCTGCAAAGGGAGCGATTCTCTGCATTGCAGATCCCACAGAAGTTTAGCATTTGTGGGCAAGGAG